GTTGTTTGGTAGAGATGCTTCCCTGAGGAAGTAGTGTCTAAGCTGCTACCTATGAACTACCTATTGTTAGGAGATGAGGGGCAGGAGGCCAAGAGATGGGATGTGTATAGAACAGAGCATATTTGCAAAGGATCAGAATGGCCTTTGCAGTGCATGTGTGCTGCAGGAATGAACAATCTTGGCTTTTCTGAGAATGAGAACTCTGAGAACAGTGGCTGAAAGTAGCTTGCTCTAGAGAATATGGAGTGTACAGTTAGGTAATAACATACTAGTCCAGTGAAGAAGAATATTTGAGCTCTTTATATAAAGAGGATTAATATGAAGCAAACTTTCTTTTGAGCCATGAAAACTAAATTACTGCTTTTACAGACTCCATATAATTGCATAAGTCATAGCCATGCCTGAATGTGTGGGGTCTAGCCAGTAGTTAAAATAAACCTTATTCTACTGTAAGAGAAAGTCATATTACATCTGATAGGCATCTGGCATTTCAATTAAATCATTGGTGCCCAAAAGTACCCTTTTGGTACTTAGTTCACTCTCTTTGTACTCATTATTCTTACCTAATTTCCTCTTACTTACTGCAATTTGGAATTAGACATAGTAAAAGCCAGCACTTCCTATTCTGGTTCTGTTGCCAGTGGCAGGTCTGAAAATGATAAAGAGAAGCTGGTAATTCAGGTGGGTCTATGGCATGTCATAGGACTCTGATAAACGTCTGGCTGATGATGAAAGGCCAGTTGTCTGGAAGATGTGATTTTAAATATCGATGCCCTGAAAGAGTTGAATGAGTCATTCAGTATACCATTTGGCTAGAAAGTCTTTTCTTTTACCTAGGAAAGAGAGATGAGGACAGAGTACCAAATGTGTAACCATAGGAGTGATTAAAAGTCTTAGCTCCTGCAGAGCAGTCTTTACATTTTTGTGTCCCTTCGGTTAACTGCACTAGAGGGACAACCTAAACCAACTTAAAAAAAATGTTGTTTGAATATGATGGTTCAGAGCTATAATATTATGTCAAGAGAAATAGAGTAGCCATTCACCCAGCCTTTGTTGTGCTGTTGTTTAATCTTTTACACACATACAGAATGGCATGTATTCTTATGTATACAGCCTGATGAATTTTCACAATGAGCACATCTGTGCAATCAGCACTCTGTCCAAGAAACAGAACTGTACTAGAGGACCCCCTTCTGTTTTTCAAGTCACTACTCCTCCTCCCAGACACTCCACCCACGGTAAATATGTCTGCCTTCTGACAGCACAGATTAATAATGTTGCCTTCTTTATACTTTTGTGTCTTCTTTGTTTTGTTTGACACTGATTCTTTTGAAACTCAGCCATATTAGTGCTAAAATAAGTTACTTCGTCATCTCCTAATTTATACTCATTGTAATGCATTGGTACTTTAAGGAAATTCACACATTCAGATAATGTAATTATCAGGTGAATACAAGATAATTGGACTTTAGCCAGTGCTTTAGTCATGGCTGTATCAGACCTTATAGTTTCAGGTGTAGTATTAAAAATTAGTTTTGAAAGTGAACAAGCATCACTTGTGCACTTTGTATGTTTTAGTGGAAGCTTCAGACTGAATCAGATGTTTTTATCTGGGGCTAGGCTTTTTTAGAGATGAAACTTGGGAGAATACCATTCACTATTGCCGCAGTCTGGCTGGGCACAAAATCACGAGCCACTCACAGCCTTGTAGATTCAAACAGCAATTCTTTATTCCCGAACTCACACCGGCACGCTACAAGCACGTTCTGGGCAAAATCCACACTCTCCACCGGGCTCTGAATCCCAAAAAACTCTCTGAATCCCGCGAGAACTCAACGGGAACCCAAGGCGCCTGAGGCAGCAGGATACGCTGAGCAAGGTCACCTTTCATGCAAAGTCGCTGCAAATGCCCTGGGTCCAAGGCAAGCCCATTTCCACAATGGAGAGTCCTCCCTCTAAGCAACATGGGGTAGGCTGACAAAGAAATTGCCATGCGTCATTCTTACTTAGCTATGGCTCTCAGCAACTATCTCCATGATAAGTGGTCTCCTTTGCCTGTAAGTGATAGTACTGGAATTGTCTTAAGTCATTGAGACATGTTTTGAAAGCATATCCTAGAAAGGGACGGGATGCTTGAACTGCCCCATGACACATTCTCTGTCCTTGGTAACTTGACTTTGCAGTGAGACACATGACCCAGAGGCTTCTGAATGTTAAGTTTGTAAATTCTACTATAAGAAAGTGGTTAGCATTATCTTTTTTCAATTATATTTCAGAAACACACACACACACAAACATGCACCCCAAATACCTCTCTTTGACCTGCTGGCTGTGGTCAAACAGGGAATGAGATATTACAGCTGGCTTTGCTTGGACTTGCTGCTGGCTGGTGTGAGCCTGTGTTGAACTATAAATCTTTTTAGAAGCACTTGGTGAGAAGAGGTTGTTCAGAGGCTGATGCTAGATATTCACATGTCACTCTGCTGTAGATACTGAAGGCTGAGGAAAGTCAAAAAATGTCATTTAATCAAAGGTATTTGGAATTCTGAAACAAATTCCACTGGTTAGTGGCTAAATTGGAAACAGTGGTTATTTTTAAGGTCCATGAAGATATTTTAAGCTCTAGCCTATATCAGTTCAGAATTATTTCCATTTGGCTCATTCCCTTTTATCTCTGCCATCCTTAGGTCCAAAAATGTTAGTTACTTTTACCTATAAAAGTGTTTTCCAGCCTTTTATAAAGTAGCAGAGTGGTGTTTTGAAATTAAAGAAGGAAAAATTTCACACACAAAGAAATTTAGTACCTATTTATGGATCTATAAGAGTATTACAAAACATAGACTAAAGCAAACATGCTGAAGTCATGCTTGTGGTGGCCTCTAGGCAGGGAGATTAGGAAGTGGGATTGGAAATGCATTGAAATTTTATCTGTAACGCTTTATATTTTATTTCTAAATGACAATCTACAAAATATCATCTATAAATATATATGAGAGAAAGAAAATGTTTTTCTCCCAATTTAGAGAAAAAGTAACATAGAAGCCAGGTATAGTAACACATGCCTATAGTGCTAGCTTACTCTAGAGGTTGAGGTGGGGGATCACTTGAGTCTAGGAATGTGAGATCAGCCTAGGACACATAATGACAACATGTTTCAAAAAAAAGAAAAGAAAGATAAAAAATAACAGAACAGTAATTCCTCAAGAATCAGCCAGCATTGTTGACTATGACATTTGTTCTATGGCAACATTAGGAGGCAGTGTAGTTAGTTGTAAAATGCACACACCGGAGAGCCAGACCAAGTGGGTTCTGCTTGCGTGTCCTGGTTCTGTTGCTTAGTATCTTGGGTAAGTCATTTCATCTCCATATGCTTCAGTTTCCTCATTTGTAAAATGCTATAATAATTACTTATGTTATAGTTTTTGTTTCATAATAATTTTTGTATTGTTTCATAAAAAGTTAATATATATAAACTATTTAGACCAGCATCTGGCACATAGGAAGCACTCAATAAATATTAGCTGTTATTATTTGGAGGGACAGAGATGACTTCTAAATGTAGGTGCATTTTTTTTTTCAGCTTTTAGACAATCATTAAGGATATATCATATATCTGGCACCATATGAAGCCTTATCTCATTTAAGTCTTGTAAGAGATACTTTATCATAGGTAAGGAAATTGAGGAGTTAAGTAACTACCAATTGATCACACTGGTTAGAACCAAGTTCTGGGACCCTAAAGCCCCTGTTCTTAACCTCTACATTTCATTAGTACTAACAAATTTAATTCTTATCTTTCTTTAACAACTTCCAAATAAGCAGGGGGAAAAATGTCTAAAGTAGCTAAATTTAGCCATATAATATGGATTCATAATTAGATATATAGGAAAGTACATGTAGGATAATTTTAAAGTTAAGGATAATTTTAAAATTTAGCATTTTTAGATATCATATATTAGAGTGTGTATCTACCATGTGCTAGAGACCATGCCAGGTGCTCTACAGAAATTGTATTCTATTAAATTCTTGTACTATACCCTGTTTTTTTTTTTTTTAAGAAATGAAAAATTAGTCTCAGAGATAGTATATACCCTATGCAAAATCACACACTTATAAATGAGCCCCCACCTGCTCTCATGCCAGAGTCTATACATTCTTCATGAGGCCTAAGTAGCTTACTTCTACTGTCATTGTTGTTTATATTTTACTTTTGAGGTAAATGTGTATACATCTAGATTTTACTCATTCTATCATTTTTTCTTTCCTTGTAGTTCAGAAAACTTGAAGTCAAACAGCATATAAAACATTTAGTCAGGGTGACTTTGTACAATTAAACAATGTAAGCCAAGTTTTGCATAAAGATTAAGGTATAATCTTTAAAATTCTTGAGTTTGTTTGTTCCAAAGAAAAAGTATACCTCCAGCTCACCCATTAAAATGTAGCATATATAAAAACTAAAAGTATTGGGTTGGAAGTATGGCTTTGTGGTAGAGCAAAGCTTACCATGCTTGGGGTCCTGGGTTCAATCCTCAGCACTAAAACAAACAAAAACACCTAAAAGTAAAAAAAAAAAACTCTTTTCTCTTGGCTTGGTAGACTTTTCCCTATATTTAACAGTAAGACAGTTACTGTATTGTTTCTTATATAATATGCTTGTACAGAGTGCTGACTTTATTTACTGGGCATGAGGATTTTCAGGGTTTTAGGGAAAAAGTGTGACTGAGTGTTAATCATTATTGTACCTGTCTGAGTGTGAGATTAAAATTTTTCTCTTTGAATAGATTTAAAAGCATTATCATGGTACATTACTTTTTGTAATCTTTTACATTTAGTAGTTCCTATGCATTATTATGGTTTTAAAAACATATAAAGATGGAAATATTGTAAGAATGAAAGTAATAAAAGTAATTTTACTTGATTTATCATCATGAGCTCCTTATGTCACTGAGCAGCCAAACGGTGTGATGATGGAAAGTGATCAAGTCTTCCTTTTCTACCAGGTGATCAGACTCTGAGAATTTGGGATATGAAGGCAACAGGAGTCAGAATTGTGATTCCAGCACATCAGACAGAAATTTTGAGCTGTGACTGGTGTAAATACAATGAGGTATTGTGTGTGGTTCTCTCCTGAGCTTCTGGCCTTTCAGATGTGGAAATCAAGATTTATTTATCTTTGTTTATGTGGATTTTGGTGGTGTTCTGAACTATTAAGTAAAATTCAGTCCCTTCATTTCTAATTAATGATTGTGACTGACCCGCATTAGCATTAATTGGCTGTAAGTGCTCATAAAACAAGCAAAATAAGAAACACAAATTCTCAAAAGTTCAACAGTGCAGCTTTGTTTGTTTTGGGAAAGTGCTTTACAATTTATGAAATCTTTTCTTGATTGCTTTTAACCCTGTCACTTTGTATCATCTTTTGCCTTCTTTTTCACTTTCCCACTCAGACCTCTGAACTATTTGTAACTTGATTTTTAATTTGACCGTTGTATCAGCTTTAAAATTTTTCTGTTTCATCTTCCCCTTTAAACACAATTTTCATGCTTCTGTAAGATAGCACTGTGTAATTTTTTACAAAACTTCAGTTAACCATATGAACATATGAATTACATAGGAGTGTATTAAATGTGTTAATATGCTACTTGGGTACCTCAAATGATTTGTTAACTGTGAAAATAGATAAAATGTATACTTATTTTTTCCCCTAGTTTTGAAAGTTAAAATTATTGAAAGTGGAAAAAAATGATATTGACAGAATTCTTTAAACAGAAAAGAAAATATAATACATATTCAGTAATATTTGATTTAAATAAAAATGTTAATGCTAATGACAACAGTTTTAATCTCTCCCATTACAAATGAATTTTCCATTTAGGAAAATTAAAAATTTTAGGAATTCTAAAAAAGGTGCTGTTATACATTTGATTAAACTTATACATTAATTTTAATGTTACAGATTAAATTTTTTTAAATCATTGAAACTTTTCCTCAAATGATCTTGTATTAAAGCCCAACATATTCAGACAGTGAATTGCTGCTGTGGTGGATGTGGGATAAGCTGAGTGTGGACCCAGCAGTTGTTCTGTTTAGCTAGGCCTCTGGGTTCATTAGGGCTCTAGATAGCAGAATTTGTAAAACCCGATGTGATAGATAATTCTCTCCATAGATTCTGAGTTTTGATCAGATTAAGACTTGGCCCAACAGATTTGGGGATGGTGATGGATTTGGATTCAGAAAAACATAAAAATTTAATTTGTTCCCTTTACATTTTCAAAAAGTCCTAAATTAATTGGCCTCCTGCCTTTTAATACCTCTTATGATCTCAGAGGATGTTGAAAATCTTTTGAAGAGAAAAGTGGACTTACTTGTCAAATAAGCTTTAATCTTTTATGTATTTATTACTACTAAAAATAAATTGGAAAAATCTACAGTACAATAGAGACTCTGCTTTTGTCTCTGTGTATAGTATTCCATCATAGACATAAAGCATTCTAAGTTTCTTTCAGGTTAATTTTTTTTGGCCATGTAATGTCTATTTTGATTCCTTTCTATGCTTATTATACATTTTTACAAGAATGACTCCTGAGATGAAATAGATAATTAGCAGAAAGTAGATATTGTTTGTAATAGGAAGCCTTAGTACTGCTCAGTTGTAAAAATGTCACAATATACTTTTCTCTGAATTGTTTTTAGAATTTGCTGGTGACAGGAGCAGTAGATTGTAGTTTGAGAGGCTGGGACCTAAGGAATGTGCGACAACCAGTGTTTGAACTTCTTGGTCACACCTATGCTATTAGGAGGGTGAAAGTAAGTTATTATCTTGTCCTTTTATATGTAGAGCAAAAATGTAAATATAAATAGAATCAGTGAAGCATGTATAAAAGAAGGTTTTGGTGTTTAGGAGTGGGGGTTATTGATTCTTTTTTATGGTGTTTTTGTTACCAAATTAATGATAAGTGTTTTAGTCAGCTTTTTCCACTGACCAGAACAGGTGTAGAGGAGGAAAAATTTATTTAAGGGCTCAGAGGTTTCAGAGGTCCAGCCAGCTCCATCATGGCAGAAGAGTATGGTAGAGGGAAGCAGATACTATTTTAACACTTTTTACTATAGTAGTTTACTTTTAGTATTACAGTCTTTATAATTTTCCGTTCAGTGGGAAATAGTATATTATGATGACATATATGAATGTTCACAAATGTGTGGGGTATAAAAAATTTTCTGTTCTCCAAACAATAAAGGATGAGGTAACTCCTTTGTGCTGCTCCCAAGAAATTCATCTGTTATAAGGTAACTTAAGTTAGTTCTCAGCTTTTATTTAGGCAAATTCTTCTAAATTACTGTGGAAAACATCTTAAATGACATTTCCCAATTTTAATTCTTTCATGTTTTTACATTCAGGGCAAAAAATTACCTTAGTGATCTTTTCAATAAGAAAACTATACATTTCTATTTTTTAAATTCCAAATTTCCATTAAATTAGTATTTTGGGTGGGGGGGTTCATGAGTTGAACTCAGGGGCACTTGAACACTGAGCCACATCCCCAGCTCTATTTCATATTTTATTTAAAGATAGGGTCTCACTGAGTTGCTTAGTGCCTCTCTAAATTGCTTAGGCTGGCTTTGAACTTCTGGTTCTCCTGCCTCTGTGTCCTGAGCTGCTGGGATTATAGGCATGTGCCACTGCTCCAGGCCAAAATTAGTATTTTTAAATTTTATTGGCTTTCATGAAACATATGAGGCATAGTCCCCTGTTTTGCTTTATTTTTTCTAATTTTCTTTTCTTTATTTTCGCAATACTGGGGATTGAACCCAGGATTTCATGCATGTTTGGCAAGCACTGTACACTGTACTACATCCCCATCCATCTTTACTCTATTTTGATACTCTATTTTGGGTCCTGCTAGAAGTTGCCCAGGCTGGCCTTGAATTTGGCAATCCTCCTGCCTTAGCCTTCTGAGTAGCTAGGATTGCAGGCATGCTGAATCATGTCTGAGTTGCTTTGTTTTTTTTTTTAATGGTAGTCTTGTGTGGATGGTATTAGTAGATTTTTTGGTGCCAGGGATCAAATGTAGGCCCTTGAGTTCGGTAGGCAAGTATTCTACTACTGAATATACTCCCAACCCTAGATTTTAGTAGTTGAAAAATATTTTTATGTATATTTCAGAGTGGTTCTGAGAATGAAATAGGGTAATATAGTGAAAGTGTTCTAAAAATTGTAAAATACTATTCAAATGTAGTTATATGTGTATATAACTATTAGCATGCTTATAAGGCTGGGGTGTAACTCTGTGGTAGAGTATTCATCAAGTGTGCTAAAGGTCCTGGGTTCAATCCCCAGCACCACAAAAATAAGTAAGTAAATACATAAAGTGCTAGTAAGATAAATACTGAACAAATATAATTGCAAAGGGCAGTCTGTATTACTATGTTTATTACTTATTTTGAAGGTGTTATTTGCCTTTAAATTTGCAGTTTGTATCTTTGAAAGCATTTTCCATTAGACATATGATATAAATAACCTAAAAATTATTTTAAAGGTGTTTTTATTTAACATTTAAATATTTATTTTGATATCTGTGATTATAGCGATAATATGTATTTATAAAGTTGGTAAATTCTATAATTATTGCATATAAATGTTCTGTCACATACTCTCATATTTGTAAAATCATATTTGGATAGCTAATAAGAATTTATATGTAACTTTTACAGAACAGCAACATTTTGGGAACACTTATTCTAAAGAAGTTTTAAAATTCAAGGGATGGCTTTCTTTAGAGAATGTAAAAATAATTTTTTTCTATAAATGAAAACTTAAAAGACCAAAAGATTTTTTCCTGAAATTTAAGCATGTAAGGTTCAGGAAAGCATAATTTTAAGTGACAGCACTGAATAAACTTAATTTTATTACAATGGAATGATCTAGCATATTGTAATTAGAGCTAACCTTTGTGTGTGTGTGTGTGTGTTTTGTTTTAGTTTTCACCATTTCATGCTTCAGTGCTGGCCTCTTGCTCCTATGATTTCACTGTAAGGTACAGTGCTTTTTAAATACATTTCATTGTGGAATACCAAGTAGCAACTTTGCCACTTTTCTGAAAGATTACATATTTATTTTACTAACAATATGTGTCCTTCTTGCCTTTTAATCTTCCTTTTCCTTTAACTATTAACTTTTTAATCCCATCTCTTTCTGTTCTCTCTACTTTTAAATCTGTACTTCAGTCTACATTATCCTTTTCAGTACTTTCATTCATGTGATAGCCTTTTCTTTCTAGTAGTGATTTTAGATCAGTGTTAGCCCTGATTCTGGCTCCTCTGTCCTTTCTCTGTTCTATTCCTTCTTCCCTGGACTGCCTTTGTTGTCCACAAAGGCTTATAGCTAGAATGTGGGAGACAGTTCAGTGGGATTATATTTATATTTCTTCTTATAGGTAATTTGAAGTTTAGATGTGTTGAAGACCTGTGTTCTGTGTAGTTTTATTTGTTCTTCTTGTTCTGGATTGGTTTTTGTGAAGATACACAACAAGTTTTAAATTTGTATTGGCTTTATTGCTTCAGCTACCCGGATCTCCTTTCCTTTATTTCTGAGTCAGTATTTGATGAGGTAGAATCTGTATAACTTTGTTTGGATAAAATATACTTCTAATAGAACAGATTATAATAATGCTTTGAGAGAAATTACATGCCCTAACTTGGTTTTTTTTGACTGATTCAATACAAGAAGACAGACAAACTAGGAAATATAATCACACTGATGCTCCTACTTCTCAATTGAAATTATACTGTAGCCAAGTTTTGTTTTGTGTTTAAATAGTCTGTATAGAATAGTGGGGACTGATTATAAAGCTTGGGAGCCAAAGAATGGCAACATGACAGACAGGAAGAAATTTGTCAGTTTCTCTGTCCATGCCAGACATTTCCAAACTGAAACTGTGGAGCTAGATCCTTGGCTGGGGGTTTGAAGGCTGATCATTCATTCCATGAAAATGAATATACTAAAGGGAAAAAAGAATAAAGAAAGCAGAGCAAAAAGATTGTATTTTTAGGAGGGAATTAATGTTGGAGGGAAGAAAGGGATAACCCGCCAGAAACAGAAGGGAACAGTAAGCAGTATGTCTCAGAAACTGTAGAAGGAGAGGATGACTGGGAATGTATAGGCTAAACAGGGTAAAGAGAAAACTTAGAATCTTCTCTTTCACGTAAGTCACAGTAGGATCAAAAGGGATTTCCAGATAGAGAATCTGGTCCTTGCATTTCAAGGTGTCTGAAAGTGATCATAGAACTTTTAACCAATTTGAGATTGGGTATTGATCTTTTGGTGATCTCACTTTTAGTATTCTTAACAGTTTTAATTGGGTCTTTCTGATTTGGGAGCTCTGTCAATCAAGGGACATCTTGAATTCACTTTAGTGGTTTGTTTTTCAATAAAAGGGAGACTTAGTAAATGACTACCCCATACTTTCTTTTTGTAATTGTCACTATGATCTTAATCCACTGTTTTATTTAGGCATGTCAGTATTCCTAAATAAACAGTTAGGAAATACCTTACTTTTGCAGATAAAAATTTTCTCAGGAATATTTGATACAAACTGAATGTGAACTACACTGCTCTAAAATATTGTAGGTACTAGTATGCTCATAAATCATCACAATTTTTGCCTCACATTTTTGCTTTGCTCTTTGCTTTTAAGATGTAGGCTGTGTCTTTTATGAACTAGAGATTGAAGGAGAGATGTTTAGAACTCCTGGGAGATGATTGTGATTCTAAGTCAAAGTTACCAGAATTATATTTGTAAGCATATGGAAAAATTGAGTATAGTTAAATAATAAGAGATCTTTAATGTTTAGTTGAAAAAGATATTTCAATAAGTTAATATGTATATAACTTAAGAGTCTGAGTTTCTTCATATGTTGTATGGAAATTAGTAACATCTATTCCCACAAGCTCACAAAGTGATCACAAGAATTATATAAGAAATCATGCTTTAAAATACTGAGATAATTCTTAATTACTATTCCCAACCTTTGCCTTGAAGCTACCTTCCCAAGCCTATGCCCTGAACTTTTAGCAAAAGACTATCTCTTACTTCTTTTTAAAAAATAATTGTAGAGCTCAAGCACAAATCTCAGTTTCCAATCAAATCTGCAAATTTATCTATATTTGTACCTCTCTATTCTTCCTCTTATTTTTGGAACACCTGGGCACAGGTGCTCTTAATCCTTTATACTCCTGTTGCTTTCAGAACTGCATTTCTACAAAGTTACCTCTTGTCCTTCCTTTATCATCACTCTGTGACTCTCTTGACTTCTTCAGTCTGCAGCTTTTCCATTGGTCCTGTATCTTCCTTCTGTCTTATACTGTTCTTGCCTTCTTAGCCAGCTTTTAAGGTCCCTTTATGGTTCCATTCAGCAGGCCTTTTTCAGGGCCTTTGTCATCCCAGGGTTGTCTGCTTTGTAAGTCTTACTTGATAAATTTGAACCTATAAAATGGGTCTGCCTCACTGCTTAAACAGGGTTAGTTACATTGAAAAGGTTTTTAACTTTTGCTTTTGAAGTGCTTTGGCAGGCTATCTCACTAATGATTGATTATGATTTTCTGGCAATCATCATGCATACTCAGGAATTCTTATGAAGTAAAAAAATCTGATGTAGAAATTGTTTTCAAGAAGAAAATATTTCTGAAAACCAAATTTATCAATTAATGATGTTAAATTGTTAATTTAGTTTAAGAAATTATTTTTAATTTTCAGCTCTGAGGTCTTAGACCCTTGAAAGCTTATAGGTTTAGACACTTAAGGCTATATCTGTATTTATGCCCAACCCCACACTGGCTTCAGCCCTTCTTTACTGAAATTGCCCTGGCCAAAGTCATGAGTGACTTTTGTAATACAAAATCCAGTCCATTTGTCAATACTTCAGGACCTTGCTGCTGTATTTTACGTGGTTGATCAAATCTTCCTCCTGGAAACTTCTGTTCCAGAAATTTTATGGTTTTCTTTTCTGATTCTCCGCTGGTCTTTCCTATACTTTGTCATGGAATTTCCTTCCCCTGGAACGTGGTGATCCACCTTTAGCTTAAGGCTTTTTCACATATCCTTCTAAGAAATAATTTCCAACAATCCTTTTCTAGCTGTGACTTCTTTTAAGAGCTTTTGACCCAGGTGTTAGTGGCCAGTAGTGATCATTCAATATAGGATTATCAAAGACTTTCCTGTAAAAAGGTAAATAAAAATAAAAGAAAAACAAAGTCATTTGACAAGCTTTCATTTTGAATATTTTTTTGTGTATAAATATATGATATTTGTAACTCTCAATGCATATAGACAGTAAGACTAATCGTACTAATGGCTTGTGTGAATCTAGTCTCTCCTTATTTGTGTTTGGTGACCATTGATTGGAAAGTTCAAAAAAGGTACATTTGGTAGATTTTTGCCCCATGTGATATGAGTTAAATTTATCCTCTGAAGAATTTTAAATCTGATTGGATTGATGATATTTTAGTGCCAGAAAAATGATTTTAACAGAAAGAAAACAGATTTAAGGTATAAGACCAGGAGTAAGTGGTTTAATTTTTAGCACTGATAATTATACAGATATTTCATTTAGATTTTGGGTAGCTAATATTTATAATACAAGTTCTTCAGATATAGTTTATATTGAGTTGCCCATGATTAGATTTTGTTTAGTTTTTTGAAACTTTTAAAATTTCATTTAAAAATAGTTCACATGGTAGGTGTTATATCAAAACTGATGGTAGATGAGTATATGTATCGTATCCTTTACTAATACAGTAGCTCATTATGTTGTGTTTCACTGAATATGTAATGAAGATCTAAAAACTAATATATATTATATATAAAAAACCTAATGTTTTAAATTGTTTAGTTTGGTTTAGATTACATAAAAACTCAAGCTTTATGAAAAATAGCCGCACTCTCTTCAGCTAATGAGTAATATATTTTATAACAATATAGATGGTCCCTAAATTATGCTAGTTCTACTTAAGATTTTTTGTTTTTACTGTGATATGAAAGTGATACTCATTTGGCAGAAATCATACTTTGAATTTTGAAGTTTGATCTTTTACTAGGTTTGGAAAGGTAGCCTGATAATGGTACAGTACTTTCTTTCTATGCTGGGCCACTACAGAGCTGCAGCTCCCAGTCATCCCACCATGATGAGGAGAAGTAGTGGATACTCTACAGTGTGCTGTTGCTAAGCTAGAGTGTTGAGTAGGGTGTAGTAAATGTGTTTTTAACTTACATTTTCACTTTACAATGGGTTTATTAGAATGTAACCTCATCATAAGTTGAGGAGTATCTGCATACCTTAGTTCTTTCTAAACTTCACCCAAGGTAACACTAAATCTAAAATGTATCTTAGTAAATTTTCTCCATATTCCTATGAGTTTTATCATCATAGATTTTAAGTCTCCTTCTCCTGATACACTCTTGATTAGGTCACTTCTTATTCCTGCCAGGCCACGTTTACTGTGCCAACCCTGTATAAGCATGATTTGAATTTTGAGTGCATGTTTTGGTTTCATACCAGGTAGATTTTTTTAAAACATTTTTTAAGTTGTCAATAGACCTTTACTTTGCTTATTTATATGTGGTGCTGAGGATCGAGCCTGGTGCCTCACACATGCTAGGCAAGTGCTCTACCACTGAACTACAACCCCAGCCCCCATACCAAGTAGATTTTAAAACCAAAATCAGCAAGCCAGGTATGTGTTACAACCAAACAACAGTTGTTTTTTCATGAGGAAGAAGACTTTTGCGGTTCCACATTGTAGCAAATGCTTCTTTAATAACTTTCATACATTGATAAAGCTAAAATGATCAATTTAGCCTCATAGTTAACACTCTTCAGGTTTGTGATACTTTTAAAAATATTCTAACTTTTAAAATAAACATTTTTTTTTATCCATGGTCTTTGATAGTAATATTCTAAATGAAGCACTTAATTTTTTTAGACTAACATTTTTTTTCGGCAAGAAAAATATGAAAAGAATTTTAATTTCAGTAATAAT